AGTGGGAAGAAAGCTCACAGGGTGGGGAGTGTCATCCATTGCTGCTGAGCCATGGGAGACCCCTCGGCTGCCCTCAGCTTGTGTATTTCTGTATTGTCAGCAGTCCCCTTTTGGCCTTCTCAGGTACTCTCAGTTCTGCACAGGTTGCCTTGTCTCTCCAGGCCTTAGTGTCCCATCTGCTGAATGGGAGTGAAACCCTTCCATCAGGGGCTGTGCTGAGGAAAAGTGTGGCTGTCTGTAAAGCACTGGCCAGTGCCCTCGGTGACCACAGAGCCCAGCTCAGGCACTTAGCTTCTCCACATCCTCTTGGCCCACGGGTCTGTCTGACAAACACGGACGACAGCCGCTGCTTCCTTTGAAGCCACCCAGCACCATCTGCAGAACCATGTGGGCCCAAGGCTTCCTTGGCAGAGCCCCCCTAGCAGGCACTTCGAAGACACACCACCGGGCGGCGGGCGGCTGGCTTTCGAGAAGCTGTACCAGGAGAACACGTGCTGTCTGTCTGCCCACTCGTGGCACCAGCCCAAGAAGGTGGCAGCAGTGGGGACAAGTACTTCTACAGGGAGTGTTTTGCAGTGGAACCCAAGGGAGATGCTTCCAAGAGTGAACATGTTAGCCTCAAAACTCATTTTTTTTTCCTTTTTTTTTGCCTAAGCTAACATTTTGTGGGCAAGACAGAAGGAGGGAGAAGTGGACGCGCTGGCCCTTGCTCGGCCCTCTTTGTATCGTCCTGTCCAGACGGTTGCTGCTCTAATCAAAGGCCTTCCTTCTGGGAGATGTTCTAACATCCAGCATCATGTCCAGCTGGTTTCCCCGAAATCAGAAGGCACAGCTGCAACTCATCTTGGCCTCGGAGTCAGACACAACATACCTACGTGCGTGGGAGCCTCGAAGAACACCCCTGACTCTGGGGACACTGAGGCGTGTGGTACTTGGTCACACTGGGCTGTAATCAGCTGGAGACCAGGGCCAGGGTTTCCAAGTTTTGAGATCCTTGCGTGGTGCCTGGCACACGCCAGCCACTCGGTGTTTGAACCAATGAATAAGGACAGCCTGCCGCAAAAGTCAGCCACGTGGAGTTCAGTGTTTCTCAAACTACAGGTCATGATCCATTGGAAGGTGGTGAAATCAACTTGATGGGTTGTGATCAATGTTATTTTTCAAATAAAATAGAGTAGAATAGAACAAAACAGGAAATATTAAAGGGTGTTCCTTTTAATACCCTTATATGATAAATATTTTTTTAGGAAACTTGTTTCAGATATAAATGTTGTGTGTGATAATGGTGATGAGGTCAATGGTATTTTGACTCTGGGTCATGGAAAAAAGTTTCAAAGTCACTTCTGCACAGCTGTGCCCTGGATGTCACTCAGCCCCTAGTGAGTGGGTTAAAATTGGTGTCCATGTTAGTAAACAATTGCCATGGTTTCTAAATTGGGGTAGAGTCAGGCTATCTCAACAAGAATGTGTATCCTGCTCATTGATTTCAGATGTACTTTCTTGGGTGGAAGGAGCTCTGGTGGCTCTGTGGTTAAAGCTTTGGGCTACTAACCAAAGGTCGGTGGTTTGAACCCACCAGCCGCTCTGTGGGAGAAAGATGAGGTAGTCTGCTTCTGTAAAGATTTATAGCCTTGAAAACCCTGTGAGGGTCACTGTGTGTCAGAATTAATTCAGTGGCAGTGGGTTTGGTTTTGGTTTGGTTTCTTGGGTGGAGGAGAAAGGCAAGGATGCCCGGCAGCCCCTGGGTATGTGCTCACGCCAATAGGTCATGCACCTCCCTTAGCTAGGTCAAGTTCCAGGAAGGATTCAGGAGTCATGCTATGATTGGCACCCAGCTTGGGACTACAGGCTTGGAGGTCAGCTCTTGGCAGAGAGGGCTGAGTAAGGAGACCAGCTCCACACATCAGATGGCCTGGCTAGTGGCAAACACAGGCGTGGACATGGGTAGGAGGACTTTGGTCTTCAGACACTGGTACTGAGGGCAAGTCTAGCCTGTCCTTAGGCTGAAGGCCAGAGGTCTGGGTCTGATCATCCACTTCTCTGCTCACAGCTGCCTGGCTCCAGACCAGTGTTTGAGTTTCTGTCTGCTCACCTGTAAGGGAGCTGGGGGGACAGAGCCTCAGTTCCCAGGGGCAGGGTAAGGATTTGGTAAATAATGTATGCACACAGCGAAGGGGACTCAACTCTGGCAGCTGCTGTGATGGGCTCAGGATCTCTTCGCCCAACTAGCCTGGCCTGAGCTCCTTGGCCTGGAAAGCCCCTCCTGTTGCTTCATTCAGACTCTTCGATTGGGCTGTCTCTGCATGGTACAAACAGCACACTCAGCTGCTAACCAAAAGGTTGGCAGTTCAAGTATGCCCAGAGGTGCCTCAGAAGAAAGGCTGTTGATCTACTTCTGAAAATAATCAGCCATTGGAAATTGTGGAGCCCAGTTCTGCTCTGACACACATGGGGTCGTGGTGAGTTGGAGTCAGCCCAGTGGCAGCTGGTTCGGGTCTGCAGTGTCTGGGTGGGTTGCCTGGATCACAGCATCGTAGGAGCCCCAGGCTCTTTTCATTCATTCCCACTTTCCATTGAGCACCTCTGTGCCAGGTGGTGGCTGGGGAAACCGAGTCGGAGGGCACCTGGCCAGGGCCTTCCTTCAGAAACCATAAAGGCAGAGGAATGAAGGGGAGAGGGGAGGGGAAGAGGGGCACCAGACCTCCTCTGAGCTCTGAGTGGGAGGCAGAGCCCTGGAGAGCATCCTGGAGGCTCGGGCTGGGACTACCAGCACTTCTTGCTCTCTTTCTGGAAGGCTACACAGTTGCCACGAGCCTTCAGGAGGGGCACAGGTGGGCCCCACCTGCTTACAACCTTGGCTGGGTGTGGTGCCAGTTGCTGCAAACCCTCTGCTCACCTTCGCCTTTCCCATCCATTCTCCTCACACCCCTGTGCTTCCTTACTCCATGTTCCTTGTTCAATACTGAGGAGGTCCTGGGAGCTTCTTAGTGGTGAGGAAATTGAGACTCAGAGGTGGAGTGACTCGCCCAGTCCCAGAAGCCTGACACCTGAGCTGACCCACTCTTTCCCCGCGTCCCAGATCTGTCCTGCAGGGGTGGAGGACTCCTGAGGACACACGGCTATCCTCTGTTCCTCTGCCCCTAAGATCCTTGAGGACAGGGCTGTGCGGCCCCTGCTCGGTTTCTGCAGCCACAGCCCGCACAGAGGTGCTTGGTGGAATACTTAGTGAAGAAGCTTGGGCGGTCCCCTCAGGGCAGCTCAGGAAGGGGATATGCAGGCCTTCTGGGTCAGGGAGCTCCAGCTTGTCGGGTGGAGTGGTCAAGAGCCTTTGCAGCAGCTGGAGAAAAAGTAGGGTGTGGCCTGGGTCAGGGGGCTGAGGGGGAGGGGAGGAAAGGGGACCATCCATGTGCCTGTAAGGCAGCAGCGGCCAGGCCTGCATCTCCAGGATAATGACCATCAGCTCAAGTTTATTGAGTACCTAATATGTGCACTGCATTTAATCTCGGTGAATCGTCACAGCCCACGAGGGGGATGCTGTAATGATTTCCACTTCACAGATGACAAGACTGGGGTTCAGAAAGGTAGACTGACTAGACCCTAGATCCCTAACCATTGTGCTACCCCACCTATCATGAGCCCCCTGTCCAACACTGGGGTGCTCAGAGAAGCTGACGGATGCTAGGAGGGCCAAAGTCCCCAACAGCCCTGCTAGCTGCTCCAGCTCCCCTCCTCCAACCAGGAACAGACCCCTGGCTGCCCCATGCCTTCTCCAGGGAGTGCCTGAGTCTCTTCCAGGATTAGGTCTTTCAAAGGGCGCGTGCCCAGAGTCCCAATCTCCAGCCATCAATACCATTCTCCACTGCCTCTCAGATCTAGCTGAGCCTTATAGAATTTCCTTCCTTGCCGAGCCAGTCCCATCTGAGGACTTTCAAATTCCAAGGCTGGGCCTCGTTTGAGGTAGTGGAGCAAGAAAAAAGAGGTGTCATCTCTCTCTAGCTCTTTGACGTCAAAACTGCCCAAATGCTGTGACTGACATGTCCCCACGGAGGCCAAGCATCCAGCATATGCTCACCTAGCAGACGCCTGCCGCAGGTCAGACCAGCACCGGGGCGGTTCCGAGCGAGTGAAATCAGGCCGCTTAGTAATGAAACTGGCAGCTCCCTGCCGCCGCAGCCAAATCTCTAACGCATCCGACACACGGACACAGATGGAGGCAGGTCGGTCCAGGAGGGGCTGCCGTCTGGGCAAATGAGCAACGAAAAGGCTTGTTAAACAGGGAGTTTGGAGCAGGGAGGGGTGGCGGGGCGAGCTGGGAACAGGACTGTCAGCGGATCTTGTAAATACTCAAGGCAGCTCTGGCCTGCACCGTCGCACTTATTTCAAAGCAATTTAACCGATGGGATTCCTGACTCCCAAATCAAGAATGTTATTAAAATGAAGAACAGAGGCCGCTCCGAGGCTCATTGGTACGCGACGCACACCCCAGCCCGGTGGCGGGGGAGAGGTGGCTGGACCTCGGTGCCCAAGCTCCCACCCATCCTTCCACCCACACTTTTTTTATTTTGGGGGAGGGGTGGCGTTATGAAGACGCTGGCCAGACATGTTGACAGCTCTGGGGGCCAAACCCAAGGGGTGCTTTAGGTTTTTAAAACCTCAAGAATGGGTTTTTGTTTTGTTTCGTTTTGACCTGGGAAAAAGGCACACCAGGACTCTTGCCCTATGTGGCACCGCAGAAGGGGGACAAGACACCTGGTCTCCACCCTCGTCACATTCCTGTCGGAGAATTCCAGGGACCCACCCCCCGGGACCTGGGGGTATCCAGCAGTCACTCCTGGGTCGCCACCAGGCTGCTGAGGCCTGCTCTGTCCCAGGTCCCATGAGACACCCCGCCCCAGCGGGCATATGGGGAGCAGAGTACGGGAAGAGCACAGCTCAGGATAGGGTCCGCAGTTCCTGGGACCGGAAACATAACCCTCCCTTTGCCGTCTTTTCCGTTGTAGGTGTTTCAGCGCCGCGAGGACGGCTCAGTGAACTTCTTCCGCGGCTGGGAGGCCTACCGGGATGGCTTCGGCAAGCTGACGGGGGAGCACTGGTTAGGTGAGAGCCTCCGACGACCCTTCCCCTGTGGGGAGGTGTGGGGTGTGTGTGTGTGTGTGTGTGTGTATGTATGTGTGTGCGGTGCGCGCAGGACCATTCCTGTCTCACTGAAAATCGTGTTTTCCCTGACCTCGTCACAGCTGAGTCAGCTCAGGTGTGTTGCAGGTAAAGGTGAGAAATAAGTTCGCTATGAATGCGGTCAGTGAGAATGCGGCCGCAGGGAACATCACTGGTGTGTGTGGAAGGTGCTCAGGGCAGACACATTCTTAAGAACAGGATAGAGGAGAGGAAGACAGCAGTGTGAGGGTCCCACACCTTCCAACTCGGGCGGGAGCTGTCGGGGTGACCCAAAGTAGAAAGCAAGGGGACCTTTGACTGTTGACACCCTGGGAACTGCTTACTGTGCAGTTCAGGCGTGCTGTGGACAGGTGCAGGGTACCCTCCCGACACCTGGAGCCCCTTGACAGCCCAGCATTGCCCAGTCCTGAGGGCTGCTACTGGGGAGCAGGGCCTGCTCTTGGGACAGTGTGCAGTGCCCGGTGGCCACCCAGAGGACATGAAGGGCGTAGCACCCAACAGAGGGTCCAGTGGTGCTTTCACGTGGCTCCCCACTCAGTGCACGTGGTGACCCCACAGCTGGCACACAGTCTGTGCCTGGCACCAAACAAGGGCTCAGAAAGTGACATGAAGATTATTATAATTATTATTGACTTAATATTTATCTTTTAATTAGCTCAGTATTGAAACATTTAAATGCCTTATTTAATTTCATTCTAAATAAAAACATCCTCTAAAATCACAAGTCTAAAGTCCTAGTTTATCTATTGTAGGGAGGGGGTGTTGTGGCTTGAAGTGCTTTTTTTTTTTTTTTTTTTTTAAATGTTGTAACTAATGATTGGGAACTCTGGTGGTGTAGTGCCTAAAGCATCTGACTGCTAACCAGAAGAGAAGGCTGGCGGTTCAAACCCACCAGCCACTTCTCAGAAGGAAGGTTGGGCAATCTACTTTTGAAGTGACACCACCGTGGAAACCCAAGGAGGGGTCACTGTGAGTCAGATCAAACTCGATGGCAAACACAGTAACAATGAATTATTTGTAACTCTAAGTAGATCTTACAAAACAATTTTGTTGTTAGTATTTATATAGAATCTAAGAAATATTGCAGTTAAGCAATTTATAACTATATTTACCACATATTATTCTATGATTAAAGCTGACAGTAAACATTACTCAGGATACTGTGTGGTCTGGTATGGGAGGGGGGTACATGGGGGAAGAGGTGGCACCATTTGACGTGACTTTTTGAGAGATGGAATTCACATACCATAAATTCTTCATTTAAAGTCTACCATCCAGAAGGTTAGGAGCTCTGGTAGCGTAGTGCCTAAGGCACTTGACTGCTAACCAGAAGTTTCAAACCAGTGGTTTGAACCACCAGCCGCTCCTCGGAAGGAAGGTTGGGCAATCTACTTCCATTAGTGATACCGCCTCAGAAACCCAAGGAGGGGTTGCTATGAGTCGGGTCCGACTCCACAGCACATTAAAAAAAAAAAAAAAAAAACACCCAGAGGTTTGTAGCTTATTAGGTGAGGTTGTACAATCATCACCAATGATTCCAGAACATTTTCTTCAAGAGAAACCCCCCAGCCACGAGCAGATACTCATTTATATTTTTAATAGACATTAAAATGAACACATGGGCCTTGGAATGAAATGCTCCCCTGAGTACATCCGAATCACCTCCATGCCAGGTGCACCTCCCACCCCACCCTCTCACTTCCCCGCATGGATATCTGGGACGTTCCCTGAGAATGGGACGGGCCAAAGCCAGTGTGGCCACCAGGAAGCACCAACTGGAGGGCTGAGTGAGAGGTTTGGGTGCCAGGAGGATCTTGGTCTGCGGGGTTTAACAGAAACCCCTGGGAGAGAGCAGTGGGTGGGTCCCCACTCCGCCCCTGCGTGCTCAGAGACTTGTGAGTAGGAATTTCCCACTGCCATTTGCTTCATGCCCATCTGCCCTGGTCTGGGGTCCCTGAAGGCAGGATCTCTCTATGCTGACCTCTGTGTGTCCCTGGGGTCCACATGGGTACTGACTATAGGAGATGCCAAAGGCACAAATGTGGCTCTAGTGACCACTGTCCACACTCACTGTGCACCTACTGTGTGCTCAGCTCTGCAACCCTGAGCACTCACCCCTACCCTGGGAGGGAGGCACTGCTACTGTTCTTCCCTTTCACAGATGGGAAAACTGAGGCTCAGTAAGGTGCTAGTGTACTATGTGTATGTATGTGCCTTTGTGTGTATGCGTGTGGGATGTATATGTGCATAGATGGGTGTGGACATGTGTGTGTGTGTGTCCATGTATATTTGTGTGTGTGCATGTGTGTATGCACTTGTGTTGGGGCGGGGGGAGCCCCGGTACGGTTCACACAGTGGAGCCCAGCCAAGCTTTGACTTGGTTAATGAATGAATGAAAAGCCAGATAAGATGGGGGGTTGAGGGAGAGGGAGAGAAGCTTCTCCCAAGAGGATGTTCTTTCCCTTCCCCCACCCAGGGGACATGTGTACAAGACAGAGAGCAGGCACCCACCCACTCCCTTGGAGAAGCACTGGTGTCTCTGCTGTCGTTCCTTGGCATCTTAATTGAAATCTATCAGCAGCCACGGAAGGTGTGAGAGGAAGCATTTAAGCGGGGCCTTGATTAGCTTCTGGCAGATGCTGCTGGGCAGGGAGCCCTGACAAGAATGTCAACTTGAGCCCCAGACCTTCAACTTCCCTGCACTGTGGCCTCCCTTCTGCTTTGCACACTCCCCTGCCACCTTCACATTGTTCTGCTTTTTCCTATTGCGTTATCAGTGCTCTTTATATATTATGGTTATTGATCCTTTGATAGACATGATACATTTGTAGTCCAAGCCAATCATCTTTCAGCTTTCTTTTCTTTTTTTTTTTTTTTGGTAATGTTATTACTTATTTCCTAGAAGTTTTAAATTTTTATATAGTCAATTTGGCAGTCTTTTTTCTTCGTATCTTCTGGGTTTTCAGCTCTACTTTCCCTTTACTAGTTTTATAAATATAAATATATATATATACACACACACACATATATATATATCTCCAGAAGGTTGGCAGTTCAAACCCACCAGCAGCTCCACAGGAGGAGGATAGGGCAATCTACTTCTGTAAAGATTTGTTGTTGTTGTTAGGTGCTGTTGTGTCGGCTCCAACTCATAGCAACCCTGTGGACAACAGAACAAAACACTGCCCAGTCCTGTGCCAGCCTCACAATCCCTGCTATACCTGAGCCCATTGTTGCAGCCACTCCGTCAATCCATCTTGTTGAGGGCCTTCCCCTTTTTCGTTGACCCTCCACTTTACCAAGCATGACATCCTTCTCCGGGGAATGGTCCCTTCTCACAACATGACCAAAGTAGGTGAGATGGAATCTGGCCATTCTCACTTCCAAGGAACATTCTGGCTGCACTTCTTCCAGGGCAGATTTGTTAGTTCTTCTGGCCGCCCATGGTACTTTCAGTATTCTTCATCAACACCACATCTCTAAAGCATCAACTCTTCTTTGGTCTTCCTTATTCATTGTTCAGTTTTCACATGCATATGAGGCGACTGAAAATACCACAGCTTGGATTAGGTGCACCTTAGTCTTCAAAAGGGTATCTTTGCTCTTCAGCACTTTAAAGAGGTGCTCCATAAAGATTTACCATCTTGGAAACCCAGTGGAGGTCACTATGAGTTGCAATCGACTTGATGGCAGTGAGTTTGTTATTTTTGGTTTTTATAGTTTCTTCTTACCCTTTTTTAGTTTTCTGTTCAGTTCTGCTCTTTAATCTATCAGAAAGTTCACCGGGGTGATGGTGTGAAGAATGCCATGGGTCTAAGCGTTTTCTTTCTGTTTTAATCTGCTTGCTCCTCCCCTGCCCTCTGGTATTTGAACTCTCAGGGAGGGTGGGGCAGCTCTCAGCTCACCATCCAAGAGCCCAGTGGGGAGAAGCCGTGAACATGGGGGGAGTAATCTTAGCAGACCAATGAGGACTGGAGAAACCTCCCACCCGGAAGAAGGGTGGAAATAAGTGTGAACCCCAAATCAGAAAGGAACCTGGAGGCCCCAGGATCCCCATCCTGCCCCTTATTCAGGGGACACAGTCTGGCAGCCCCTCAAGGAGATTGAGAAGGGCATCTGGAGCAGGGCACTGGTGAACTCAAAGGGATCGCATGCTAATGGTGGACCTTTGGACTCCAGCTACCATTTAGTGGTGGGGAAAAAAGTCTTCCAGAATCTTCTCTGGGTTAGTCTCCCTCTTCCACTATTTCTGGATATCATTTGCCCTGTGTACAAACTGAGTATGAGCAAGAAGTAAGGGCCATTCTGCTTGGGTTCAAATCCCAGCTCTGCCACTTACCAGCTGTGTGGCCTGGTAAGTAACCACTTAACCTCCCCGTGCCTCAGTTTCCACAACAGTAAATAGGACTAATAATAATACCTACCTCATGTAAAGATAGCAACAGCCAACGGTGGGATCACACGTGTGATGAGCCAGGCGCTGTTCTAAGACTACACAGGGATTCTTTAATTAAATTTGACTCATTCTAATTCACTTTGATTAATTAATCTGCGTGAAACACTCAGCACAGTGCCTGGCCATCCTAAGTACCGCCCAGGTGGTGGTGGTTGTCATCGTTACATCCTCTCCCCTTACAGTCTGTGAAGAAGCCCTTCTGGCCCTTCCCTCCTGGCCGCCCCTTCGGCCCTGTGAGGACCACCCTCCAGGTGTGCAAGCTGGGGCTCAGGGAGGGAGAGCAACTCACCCCAAGCCCTGCGATTCCAGCCTGGAGAGTGGCGGGAGAGGCAGGGAGACAGAGACCTTGGCAAGATCCCTGTGTTCTCCAAGTTCATGTCCTCACCACCTGGACCGTGCAGGCGCTAGGTCTGCTGCTATTATTGCTGTCACTGCTCACGGCTACCTCTCCTGTTCCCTGGACCTGGGGGATGGAGCCAAACAAAGGCTGGCCTTGGGGGCTGGATGGGCACGGTGCACACTGCCTTCACGCCCTTTGGGGATGCACGTACTGACCCACGTGAGGCTCAGAGCTTGGCAAGAGCTGATGAAATGTCACTCGCTGCTGCTAACTCGTAAGGCGTTTAATTAAATGCTCTCTTAATCAAGAGGTAATCAGACTAGCAGGGAAGCACTTTGAGAGAGTGTATGTGTTATGGGTTGGTGGCAGATGGCTGGAGTGAGGCCCATAAGATGGGTACAGGATTACTGAGGAGGAGAGTGGTAGGGGAGAGAGTGGATGGGAGGGCACAGACCAGGCCCTGGAGACAGCAGGAGATGAGGGCACCATCTTCCACCTCTCCTCCACTAAGCCAGCAAGCATTTATTGAGCACTTATTGTATGCTGGGTCCCACCCAGTCAGCAACGTAGGGCAGACAGACTACTCTCAATGGCGTGCCTGCCCTGGAGGGAGACAGATATGGAAACAGGCAGCTGAGACACAGAGTGATGAACACAGATGGGAAGCACCTGAGTTGGCAGAAGGCTGGCAGTCTTCCTAAGGAGGTGTCCCAGGCAGAGGGAACAGCATGCACAGAGGTTCAAAGGCAGGTTCAGTGACATGCACGTACCAGACCTGGTCTGGCTGGAGCCCAGAGTATGGAGGAGGATGAGGAGCCATCCTCTCCAATGCCGAAGATTCCCCAAACTCCTCCTGACTCCTGCAGCCTTGCCACCATATTTAGAAGACATAGCCCAGGTAAAGAGGATAGAGAAAGCTACACATCACCAACTGTCCATCCTCAGTTTCTGCCCAACGCAGGCCTACAGGAAGAAGGAAGTAGCGCAGGATCAAATGCACGCACCTGGTAGTTGTTCCTGTCACTAACCCAAAAGCGGAGCTCTCATTTCTCCTTTGTTCTCTCCAGGGGGTCACTTTCTGAGGCCTCCAACTCCCCTTGCCATTCTCTCCCCTGCTCCAGGCCTCAAGAGGATCCATGCCCTGACCACTCAGGCTGCCTATGAACTGCACGTGGACCTGCAGGATTTTGACAATGGCACGGCCTATGCTCACTATGGGAGCTTTGGTGTGGGCTTGTTCTCTGTGGATCCTGAGGAAGATGGATACCCACTCACGGTGGCCGACTACTCAGGGACTGCAGGTAAGGCTCCAGACTGCAGCAGGCAATGGGGAAGGGCTAGGGGCAGACCAGCAGTCTCCTATCTGGGAGGACAAAGATGGCCCATGGGGAAGGGCTAGGGAAGCTGTCCCACAGGACCAAGCGCCTCCATTCTCTGGGGTCAGGATTAAGGCCTCTCATCCAAGACGCTGGTCCACACCTCGGCAACCCAAGGCCAGCAGAGCCTAGATTGTTTACCCATTTTGCAGAGGAGGAAACAGCCCAGAGCCACCAATCAGGAGACCTCGCGTTTGGGCTCTGCTGGTCTCTAAAGTGCAGTGACTCAACCTCTTTGGGCTGAGCTTTTTCCTCTCAACCAGGGGCAGGAAAGCAAGGAAAGGAAGTGTGTGAAAGAACCAGGAGGGAGGACACAGATACCTTGACCTAGGGGGTCTGTAAGGACACCATTTGTTCATGTGATCCTGGTGACACACATGGATGTGGAAGGCAGGCATGGGTGTACATGTGTGCGCCAGTGTGTGTATGTAAGTGGGGACGTGTAATATGTGTGTACACACATATGGTCTGTGTGCCTATGTGCACACACATAACACATCTGAGAGTGCACACGAGTGCCCAGTGTGAACACACCTGTTGTGCCTGCCTGCATAGGTGACTCCCTCTCGAAGCACAGTGGCATGAGGTTCACCACCAAGGACCGTGACAGTGACCACTCAGAGAACAACTGCGCTGCCTTCTACCGCGGTGCCTGGTGGTACCGCAACTGCCACACGTCCAACCTCAATGGGCAGTACCTGCGCGGCGCCCACGCCTCTTACGCTGATGGTGTCGAGTGGTCCTCCTGGACTGGCTGGCAATACTCGCTCAAGTTCTCCGAGATGAAGATCCGGCCAGTCCGAGAGGACAGCTAGACTGGCTCCCTATGGCCCCACCCACCCTCCTGCCTGCCCCCCATTCCTGCTTGTCTGCTCTCCAGCCCACACATGGCTGACCCTCTCTCCAGTCAGGGTGGGCCAGGCCAACCCCTGACACTAAACACCCCTGGGCATATGAAGTCACACATCTTATCACTGCCCCCATCCCCCAATTTGGCAGCAAACTCGATGATCAAAATTTCTACCTGCCCAGACTCTGACTCCTGTGAGAAGTGTCTGCTATCTTTTGGCCAGGACGTATGAGTCTACACACATACCTGGCTCTGGCCATTGCCCCTGGGTGACCCCTCTACTTTTCTAGCCCATGTGCTCAACATTATGGGGGTATAGAAGGTAGGTAGGGGGTGACTTCACCCCCAAGACTCCCTCTAGCAGATCAGAAGAGAACGTTCGGGCCTCACTGAGCCCAGGCTTCTTTGACTATCATGGTTTCCATGGTGCCTGGAGATCTCAACTCAGCCCGGAGAACTGCGGAGTGGCTAATGCTGAGGGCTGCCATATCTCAGTGCCCCTAAAGCCAGAATGGGGCACAATTGCCTGTAGGGACAAGGTGGTGGCAGGTTCCCACCCACCCAGCTACCCACCCACCCATGTCCTGCAGGCCTGAGAAGTCTCCAGTCCCTTTGGCTGTTGTACCTACCCTATCCGTCCGATCAACTGAGATCCAAGTCAGCTTCTGGGGCAGTAGGGAACCCCTGCCTCACCTTGTTCCTCCTGCCTCTGGGAGACAGGGGCAGATCCTGTACCATTCTCTGTCCTGAGCCATCGGGAACTCTTGATTTTCAAGGCTGGAGCAAGGCATGCGCCTCCTCACCACCACTTTGAAGACATTCTAGAATCTTAGAGCCTCCTTGGGGCACAGGTCTGGAGTGTGGAGGCGTGGCCTGGAATGATTTGTTGGTTGGTACCCCGTCTGGCCCCAGAGGCTGCTGTGCCTGTGAGAAGGCCGCCCCCTACTGGAGCCCGTGTGGACTGCCTCCCCCAAGCCTGGCGGAGTGGTCAGAGAGAAGGGAGGGCTGCACTGGGCAAATGGGGCAGGCGAGGTGAGGAGACTGAGGCACCAGGCCAAGCACTTCGTAGATATTTCCTCATGTACCCTTTGCGACACCTGAGGTACTATTATTGCCAAACCCCCCCCTCCATAGGTGGGAAACAAAAGCTCCAAAAGGGAGTCACTAGGTCTTTAGCCAAGAAGAGCAAGGCAGGGACCCAGGACTGAGTCCAGAACCCCAGCCCTTAACCACCTGCCCAACCGCCCTGGGGCCCTGAACCAAGCACGGGGCCATTTTCCCAAGTTCCGGCTTGTGGGGACCTGCCTGAGAGAGAGGCGGGGACCCACTGACAGCAGCACCAGCTGACACCTTGGCAGGCAGGCAGGTGGACAGCACCTCTGAAGGACAAGTGCGGGCAGGTAGTCCAGCTCTCCCTGTCCTCGCACCAGCATCTGTGCTTGAATAATCAGATGGAGTCAGCCAGAGGCAGCAGGAAAGGCTAGGGATGCCTCTGCCTCAATGTGCGACCTGGGCAGTCCTCTCCAGCCCTGGCCTGGTCAGTGTTTGGCAGATGTTTGCTGGACATGCACTGTGTCGAGCACTGCCCTGGGGCTGGACAAGATGGTCCCTACTCTTTTGGCACTCACAGCTGGAGGTGGAGATGGCCAAGAAACGGGACCAAAGCAGGGAGCCCAGGAGAACAGTCCAGGGGCGGGTGGGGTGGGGGATGGGCTGAGGGCAAGGCGTGAGCAGAAGGAGCATACCAGGTCCAAAGGAAATTCCCTCCCCCAAGCTGGCGGAGTGGTCAGAGAGGAGGGCTGCACTGGGCAAATGGGGCAGGGAGGTGAGGGGACTAAGGCACCAGGCCAAGCACTGTGTAGATATTTTCTCATATACCCTTTGCGACACCTAAGGTACTATTATTGCCAACCCCCCCATAGGTAGGAAGCAAAAGCTCCAAAGGGGAGTCACTAGGTCTTTAGCCAAGAAGAGCAAGGCTGGGACCCAGGACTGAGTCCAGAACCCCAGCCCTTAGCCACCTGCCCAACAGCCCTGGGGCCCTCAGGCCCTTTCCTTGTCCTCTAGAAGCAAGAGAGACTGCCTAGCCTGGCTGCTGCTGCCCACCTCCCTCATGACAGAGCAGAGGCTGGGTGGGCCCCCAAGTTCTTGCCCCATGAGGCTGCCCCGACACAGACTGTAGGCTGGAACTGTCTGATGCTGCCAGCCTCGAGTGCCAAGCACTATTTAGGAAGTGCCAAGCGTTTTCTGATCTGTCATCAAACAGACTCCCGATGAGTGTGATGCTAATGGATTCACAGATATGTGCGTGCATCAGGAAGCACTAAGTGGTCGTGCCAGGGTTGGCTGAGGAACAGACAGGGCCTGGAGGCAAGGATGGGGGAGGGGCCTGCAGGAGCCCGTGCTCCAGCTCCAGGCACCATGTGTCCCCTGCACGGGACACCCATCCCCTTCCAGAGCCCAGTCACTGCCATAGAATACCAGCCCCACACCCAGTTCAGGGCTGGCACCACTTGGGACCCAGCTCTGCCAGACACTAGTTGTATGGATAGGCCCCCCTGTTGTGGTGGGGAGAGATGAGACCAGGGGACCTCCATCCCTGCCACCTTCCTAAAGGGCAGTCCCTTCAAGGGCTGGTGCCAAGGAAAATGCTCACCGCACACATGTCTGGGCCAGGAAGGCTGCACCAAGCAAGACTGGCCTAGGCCCCGGCCCCATGGAGCATGGTCACCACAAATGGCAGTCACTGGGGACACAGCCAACCGTGAGAATTCTGCAGAACACAGGCTGGGAGCCAGGGCCAACCCTCTCATTTCACATCCAAGGAACCTGAGGTTCAGAGAGAGCCCAAAGCCTCCCGGTGCATTAGCGACCGACTGCTGGCTGCATCCCCTGCCTAACCGTCCCCATCCTCTGAATGAGGAAGAGGGAGATTGTAGGAGACAAGGAGGGCGGGCTTGGCTCCACTGAGTCCCAAGGGATGTGTCCTGGCAACCAGGTCAAGAGACCCGTGCATGCTAAGGCTCACCCAGGACCCACAATCACTGTCTCACTGGGCCCAATTTAATATTTGATGGTAGGGCCACTGTGGTCCCCTGACCAAGTCTCCTCCCCCTTTCCCTCTTTCTTTGACTTGGAGAGCAGGCCAAGTTGGCGAGGCGTCTCCGTACTGAGATCTTGAGGCACTGCCCTTAGTCTCCCTCCTAGAAGCTTCTGGACTTCCTCCTCACAAGCCTAGGTACGCTCTGTGCAATCAGGCAGGGACCTTGTTCCTTCCCTAAATTTAGGCTGAATCTCAGAGTGGAACAAAAGGCCATCAGCTAGTCAGCTGAACTCCGGATCCGGAGGGTGGAGGGACCCTTGGTTTCTATCCCGGTGGAAGGTATGGGAGATAAGGACAGAGCCGTGAGCAGCTCTCAACTGCATTTTTCCCCTGAAGCCAAATGTAAATGGGTTTTATAATGTTTTTTCTTTGGGGCAGAAGCTGAGTCATGAGAGGCCAGCTCTTCCTGGTCCCATTGCTGGCCCCCGCCCTTGCCTACACAGGCCCTCTCCGGCTGCCACGGAGCTGGGAACAGGAGGCCCTGTCACCCTGGATTCCGTCTCTGAGCGGGCAGAGATTCGGAGGATTACTGGGTCTTGTCAACCTGAACCTCCAGCCCAAATCTGCTAATGCAAGCCTGGCATCTGGGAGAGGAGGGAGGAGGAAGCGGGCCATGGCTGTGAGATTGGTGGGCTGAGGGGGACCGACTGAGTCACAGAGCTCCGGCCTGTGGAGTTTGGGGAGCAGTGAGCTTGCAGAAGGACACTACAGGGCCCCCACAGAACCCCGAGCAAGCAGATGGGGCAGCCGGGTGACTGGGGCCTCCACTTCTTCTGCCTGCAGGAAGAGATTGCTCCCAAATGTTTCTCAAATTGTGAGTGGGCCAAGCAGCTGGCAAGCTTCTTCTAAATCAAAGAGCTGAGATCGGACCTCGTGGGACTGGGGTGGGGGTGGGGTGCAGAGAAGGGGCTTTGACCTGAGGCCGGTCACTTTAGTCTTTCCAAGGCCCTGGCATTCCTGATCCTGGCCACACAAGAGTGCACGGGGCGGAGGGCTGGTGAGGGACTTCTGGAGCCAGAACGGTATCTGAGATCCTAATGGACAGAAGATGGACAGCTGGAACTGGCATGGAGCCGTGGTTAGTCGATGCTGTGTGTGCTTGGTGTCTGTGTGTTCCCATCTCCAATAAAGCCTAGTGGTGACCTGGCTCTGGCCCCTGCCTCTTAGCTTGCCCAGCGCTCACCCGAGAACCCGGGGTCCATCGGGCTCCCAGACTGCCTCCTACTCCATCTCCCGAAACTTTTATTACAGCATCCAAACCACCTTTTCTAGATCAATTTTTTTGTTGTTGTTACTTTTTATTATTCTTAATTTTTGCAGTGTTCCCTCCCCTCCCCCCCCACCCCTGGTAACCAACAAAGCCAGGAGCTGCCCAGGACCCGCTGGCCGAGCCAGTTCTGGGTTTTGCAAGGATAGATGGTGCCCAGACCTGGCTGGCAGCCAGGGGCCACTCTGGCTGGTGGAAGTGAGGTCGGCCTTCTACACCGGCTACACTAGTGATCCTCCTGGGGCTGGCCTGCTGGGCTTGAGCCCAGGCCGCCCCAGCTGTGCCTCTGATCAGTCCCCGGGGAATAACCTGTCCCTGTGGGTCTCTCTCATGACTGGGGCTCGAGTTCTGAGGAGTGAGGACTCTTTATTAAGAACTGATAGTCCCTAATGGCTATTTATTCATAAAATCAATCTGAGGCTTAACAATCCTGAGTTTACATAATAGAATCCAGTATAGCGAGTGCCTCATTGGAGATTCTGTGCAGCGCCGGTGGGAAGAACCTGTGAAGAGCATGCCCTGAGCCCTGCCTGCCATCAGTCTTGGTGTCTTGGTCTCTGTCCCCACATGTGTGTGGGGCAGGTCAGCTGGAGCC